AGGAAACGCTGAAAGATGGCGCCATCCTGTAACAGCCTCTGATGCAGCTTCAGAAAGTCCTTCCTGTTGCTCCGTGGCTCCATCCTAAATCCTGCTGATATTCCGCAGACTTCGTCTTCCCAGCCTGACGTTCGGCGGTCCGCTCCGCTGCCGGGTTAGGTCAGACCCAAATACTGCGGCGGCCCTTCCAGGGCAGGCGGTCTACCTCTTGTAGTGGCTGGGAGCGTCTGCAAACATGTACTTCAGTCTATAAGCTTCTGCCAGGAGGAGGCCCACCTCTTCGTTCCCCCAGTGGATGGTTGGGAGGTTTTGGAGAAGCATCAGGAGGCTCTGAAGGGAGAAGCCAAACTCAGTCTTAGTATCGACACTCATCTATATAAAAGAGGGTTTGCTAGATTAAACCAGACGACACTGGAAATTAAGTCCTTCCTAATTCAGAGGATAATTAAGATAAGAATCTGGAAGACCTGCTGGTTTCCTGGGAGCATCATGCCTCATCAGACGCTCTCTGGCTGCTACAGCCCCCCTCAGACACATTTATTTTCTCCCTCCTGTTTCAGATTGTTTCTAATATAAATACATTTCAGTGTGAAGGTAGATGTGTTTTATTAAATCTCAGGCAGAATTATACTAAAGTCCTTTAAATGCTGAGAAATCCAGGATAAGTGATCCTGAGATCCTACTGGAATAAAGAAGGAAAATCCCTCCGGATCAAAGAACATTCCAGAGATGAAGACATCTCTCCATCCATCTCCGAGTTCCTGTTGAATAAAGGCGGCGTACCTGAAAGTCCACCATGCAGAGGATTTCTTTGCGCCACTCGATGAGAAACGCAGCACAGACATAGAGGTGGAAATGGGAGAAACCTTCAGCTTCAGCCTGGAAACGGAAAAAACAGCAGCCTGTCAGGATCCGGCTGTTCATCAGACAGAGGGCAGCACTAAAGATGGCCGTCACTAACGATCCGTCCCGGGAGCAACGATCTGTCCCAGGAGCAACGATCCGACCCGGAAGCAACGATCCGACCCGGAAGC